TTGAAATGTCCTCTGATGTAATTTAGTAAGTAATGCCGCACATACACATAAGTCATAGACAGTTATTCGATACTATGGAAAAGAATGAAGTTAGAAAGAGAGAGAGAGGAAGTATAACAATGCTAAAACAAATCTTTGATAATTTATTAAAGAAATATATCTAATGGCAAGAAGAAAAAAACGGAAAGTAGTTCTTAAACAATGAATAAAAATTGAAGAAAGTTGAAATGTATATATATATTTATTTTTCAAATGTTAACTACTTGTTTAATTTTATAAACAATCAATATCAAAATCGTTCGACCAAAATAAAAAAATCTTTACAAAATTCATGAATATTTATTTATTAAATAAGTTAGAACTAAAATATTGTATTATTTAGTTGTACTAAATCAAGTACTAAATAACACTGCAGAATATAAAACTCAATTTGATGGGGAAATAACTCCCTTGTTTTATAGTTAAACAACGGAACAATATGAGTTGTCAAAGTAGAGAGAAGTGTGTTTACTTATTTTGATGAGATTTTTGCATCGATTCATTTATAACAACGTTCCAGGCACCGGTTACTAAATGACAATATTAAATATCATGATTTTGTTTTAAGAATGTTCTATTTAAAAAAAACAACCTTCGAGAACATATTTGAAATAAATACTGAATCACTTATTACAGTTGGATTCTTTTTAAACATGACTTTAATAAATAAACTACGTCAGCAAAGTAATTTTCTTTTTATCTTTTAATGACTATATAAGACAAATAGAATATTATGAATTTCTCCTTTATTAAATATCAACATTGGTTCACACACAGCAACTTTACTATCACAAAAATAAAGTAGAATGTGCAAAGATTTTCTTAAAACACTCAAACGACCTATATGGATCGGCATTCTCACTATCATTGCTTTACTAGCAATCGCGATATCACTCCTTGGTTACTTTATATATCATTCTAAAAATTATGAAGTTGCATCAATTAGCACATTAAATACAACAACTATGGGTGCCGTTACAATTTCAAATGGTTAGTTTGAATGTTGTTTTATAATTCCATAAATATTTATTTATTGATCTAGGTAATGATAATGATAATAGTCAATTAACAACTGGTTTTACAACAAAAACAAACTCAACAAGTAAAGATTAGTAAATAAATTTATAAAACTAGATAATTTACTTTTTTCAGATCAATTCAATAACCCAACAACAAGTACATCATACGCAGTAAAAGACTCGACGTCAAATATACCAATATGTATGTTAGTTTTTATATGAGATAATTATTAATTCTTTATTTCAGATACATTGGTAACTGTCCCGACAAAAACTGTTCAAAGTATGTCTATTCATTGTTTTATTTCAATCTTATTGTTTATTTTTATTTTGAGATACCGTACAATCCAATTTTCAAACAACAAATGTAGATACTACAGGGCAAAAAATAACGACGAGTCAGACTGGTAAGTCAGTTTTTATAGAAGGAAAATATTAGATTCAGTATGTGTTTAATTTACCTCAAACATCACTATTCATACCAAGTATAATATTACAATGAGTAAATTGTGTATAAAAAATAGTTGTTTTTACAGTTCAGAGTGCAGCTTTTCCTTTTATATTGTTGAACAACGCAATAGCTTAGATTTCTTTCGAAGTACATCTTAATAATTCCAAGTATTTTTACAATGATTAACATAACCATATTTATTTGCAAAAACATAAGGTTACGAATGTATAGATCATTGGTGTAAACGTAAAAATATTCTTTCTTATAGCATAAACATAATGTCTATTGAGCTCATACATAAGATATTTTATCAATAGGTTAAAATTTTAATTTTGTTCCTATAACTATAACATCTGAGGCTAATGAGTATACATACAATTTTGTTTTTGCTAATGATTTGTTTTACTTTATAGGCGTAACAACAACAACACCAGTGAACACAGGTATGTCAACAAGTATGTATCTTAATTATAAACATAACATAATAAAGCGATAGTTATTGATTTGTAGCAATGGGAATAGGCAGTACACAAGTTACAAATATTCCATCATCTATAGAAATCACTAGCACAATGATGGGTAAGTCATTGAGAAAACTTATCATATACAGTTTGTGTAAATAGAATTGAAAAGAATCACTAAAGAATCGTTCAGTCATGTTTTTTAATATAATTAGATGAAATGTTTATTTGTCATGTATACTAAGTAAATACATATTATTCGAAAAGATGATTATATCAAGGTATAAGATTTAGACTATGTTTCTTATCAGGAAGAAGAAGAAATGAATAGGACTATCTTATGTTTACAGGTACCAGCGTACAAACATCGACTTCTAATCAATCGGTCTTTTCGAATTTCAACGCATCGCTAAGTATCGGACGATCTAACTTCGGAAGTGTATTATTAGCAAATGGACAAGTTCTTGTCGCTGGAGGTTTTTCTAATTCCAGTACAGTAACTTCACGGACTGAAGTTTATACATCAACCGGATGGCAAATTGCAACTCTGATGAAAGTAGCACGTGGTTATCATACTGCTACTGCTTTTGCAAATAATATTAAAATATTAGCCGCAGGTGGTGGTGGAACTGTAGCCGGTTTCCAGACTGCCGAAGTATATGACTTTGTGCACAATACATGGACATTCACATCAAATAATATGTCAAGTTCTCGTTTCGCACATACAGCTACACTACTTGCAAATGGACAAATTCTTATTGCGGGTGGAGCGAATACTTCAGGTAAAAGTATATCTGCATGTGAGCTTTATATTCCATCTTCAAACTCATTTATTAATACAACTAATATGAATATCGCTCGATTTTATTTCACCAGTACACTTCTTAGTGATGGATCCACTGTACTTGTTACAGGAGGTGTTAATACTAGTAATTCTGCCATTTCATCAGCAGAATATTATATTAATGGCTCTTGGATTCTCTTATCCAATAGTATGACTCAAACTCGCGCTTTGCATGCTGCTGTACTATTAAATGATGGAACTGTATTAGTTGTAGGTGGAAGCGCTGGTGCAGGAAGTGCATATTTAACTGCTGATATTTATAATCCAGCAACAAAAAACTTTACAGCTGTTGGATCAATGCAATACCGTCGAGCAGCATTCACACTTACACTTCTACCATCAGGTAAAGTATTAGCAGTTGGTGGTGCTGATTTGACAACAAGTACGTATCCACTTGTATGTGAATTATATGATCCTGTAACAAGAACGTGGTCAAATACTACTATGTTAAATCATGGAAGAAGTTATCATCAAAGTGTTTTAACAAATACTTTTGTATTAACTATGGGTGGCAACGATGGAACCAGTTATAGACTTAGCAGTTCTGAAATATACAATTTCTGAAACATTATAAGTAATATTAACTAAGCTCTAATAACATAACATTTTTTCTTTTTTTAAATCAAAATAATGTATCTCATAAACTTAATTATATTTAATAAATAAAAATCTCATATTTTAAATCTATATTTATTCTTCATATAAGTAATGTAAACAATGATCAAATAGTTATGATTTATATGTAAATCTCTCCAGAACTGATTATCTACATGAACAACAGAAAATGTAGTGTATCCTAAACAGAATAAACTTCGAGTGACATATTGCCTCACTCTTTGATTTCACAAAGAAATTATACTAGTAAAAATTTACACAATTTGAGGAGAATTAGTAATAGTCAACGGAAAGATAGAGTTTTTTTTACAACAAACATGTTAATTTTGCAATTAAGGGTAAGAGAACTCTATACTCATGTTCATCGAAGACTTGAAATAAATAACATCATTAAAATATCATTTTATGCTACAGTAGACTTACAAATTGCATTCTTACAAGGAAAACATGATTATATTCTATTTTATTAATATTAACAGTTTTATGACTAGATATTCTATTAGCTACTGATGTTGTTATTAAGTAATTAATTGATTTATTGAATAAATATCACAATTACAAAATGAAAAAGAATTACATA